CCCTCCCTCCTTTTTTCTTTCTTTTTCTTTCTCTTTCTTTCCTCCTTCCTTCCTTCCTTCCTTTCTCTTTCTTTCTCTTTCTTTCTCTTTCTTTCTCTTTCTTTCTTTCCTTCCCTCCTTTCTTTATTTCTTTCTTTTTCTTTCTCTTTCTTTCCTCCTTCCTTCCTTTCTCTCTCTTTTCTTTCTTTCTTTCTTTTCCTTCCTTCCTTCCTTTCTTTTTTTCTTTCTTCCGTCCTTTCTTTCTTTCCTTCTCTTTCTTTCTTTCCTTCCCTCCTTCTTTCTTTATTTCTTTCTTTTTCTTTCTCTTTCTTTCCTCCTTCCTTCCTTTCTCTCTCTTTTCTTTCTTTCTTTCTTTTCCTTCCTTCTTTCCTTCCTTCCTTTGTTTCTTTCTTCCGTCCTTTCTTTCTCTTTCTTTCTTTCCTTCCCTCCCTCCTTTTTTCTTTCTTTTTCTTTCTCTTTCTTTCCTCCTTCCTTCCTTCCTTCCTTTCTCTTTCTTTCTCTTTCTTTCTCTTTCTTTCTCTTTCTTTCTCTTTCTTTCTCTTTCTTTCTCTTTCTTTCCCTTCCTTCCTTACTTTCTTTCACAGCACCCCACCTCCCCGGATTTGGCCTAGCAGACCTCATGGAAGACTCCTGGGAGCCAAAACGGACCCCAAATGCTTTAAAAAAAAGTTTTTAAAAAACCAGTTTCTACCATCAGGCAACACAGCTGATCATGGGAACGTGTTTTTTTTTTTTTACTTTGTTAAGCATTTTTTACTATCCGTTTGGGTGAACCGGCTCGAACCAGTAGGATTTCACCCCTGGCTCCTCTTGGCAAGGGATCCACTTTGGGGAAACAGGAGACGATGGGTGAGATTTAAGCACAAAAGTTTGGCCTTCCAGCTCCGGAAAGTGGGGTGCAGGAAGAAGAAAACGCTTTGCCCTTCGGGGGTCTCTGCCCAAGAATCCCCTTCAAGGCTGGTCCGCCTGTCTCTGTTTTGAGACTTTGGAAACGGAGGAGGGAGAAGCCCATTAAGAGGGGAGGAAGAATCACTGGATCCCATGCAGGGATGGGGTGGGAGGGGAAAGGCAGATCACCTGTGCGAGGTTGCACAAAAGCTTTTTTTAAAAAAAAAAAAATCTACTGAACGTATAAAATAAGAAGAAAAATAGAAACAGGAAATTAGGGAAAGAAGGAAGATGTTGCTGGAAATTGGAAAACGGCGTTCTGAAAATTGCAATCAGAAATGGACGGATGACGTAACCTAGTTGAGTCGTGAAATGTCTTCCAGGAAGCCACCAAGCACCAATAATAACTCCATAGTCCTTTTCTTCCTCCTCCTCCTCCTCCTCCTCCTCCTCCTCCTCCTCCCACTTCTCCTGCTCTCCCCCTCTATAAACCATTTCCCCTCCAGCACTGTTGACATCCTCTGGTTGGGTCACGAGACGTCTGCAAGAAAACCACCCAGCTCAGAGAGGAACCCACACATTCCTCCTTGTTCTTCCTCCACCTCCTCTCTGCAAACCCCCCCTCCCTTCTAGCACTGATGATGTTCCCTAGTTGGGTCACGAGACGTCTGCAAGAAAACCACCCAGCTCAGAGAGCGCCCCAAGGACGCAGTTCAATCCTGAGTTCAGAAAGCACCAAGGACTCCCACAATTCAATCCTGAGCTACAAATATTATCTTCCATTGTTTCCAGAAGTGACTTGATTCTCTTTCCAGCTTATCTGAAGACTGGGCTGTTTGCTGGTTGAGGTGGAACCAAAGCTTGGTAGATACCATTCAAGTGGAAGCTGCTCCCCTCTTCCAAAGCACTTGCCCTATGGATGGCCTCAAGTGGGATGGGGTCTCCTCCGACTGGAGAATGGGTCAACCCTCCTGCTAGGTTTGGAGCTCCTCCCAGGAGACCCTCCCAAGGACCATGGCGTCTTCTTACCTTCTCGTCTTCCTCCTTCCCCGCCTCCTTCTCCTCTTCGTTTCCCTCCTCCTCCTCCTCCTGCTGCTCCTCTTCACTCACAGCTTCACAGGTGAGGACCAGCAGTGGGGGCTTCTCTCCAAAGAAGAAGTAGGCCGTGCATTCCATGACCGCCTGTGGAGGAGAAGACAGCACAGTGAGAACGAGGATAGCACCCAGATTTCATCACGTGGAGACCACAGTCTCCATCCCTGCGGAGGAAATCTAGGTTGAAGCCCTGACCTCACTCAACCATCTCCTGCTAGGTGTGAAGGATGGTAAACAAAGCACTCCAAATTATACCTTATAACCTCTTAAGTGGAATAATAATAATATAAGAATGGCAAAGAAAAAGAATAACTATGTGAATGTATACCTATAACTGTATGCAAGAGAATAAATGACAGTACAAATATATAGCATAAATATAGGTAAATAATATCTGGTCATAAGTAGCTAAGTACAAATAAATAAAGAATTGTACATAAAAATGGATAATGAATAAGGAGATTATGAACGCAAGATAGAAATGCATAGAGGGGAAAACACTAACTGCAAAGGAACCGATTCGGAACTGCGGTATGATATACAATGGAACTTATTGTTCCTATGTTGTTTTTAAGTTATGTGTTTGTTTCTGTTGATGTGCTTATGTGTATAAAATAAAAATTCAAAAAAAAAAAAAAACAACCCATCTCCTGCTAGGACAACATTGGACAAGCTAAGATGGTTCAGCCTCAAGGTCTCCCTGGAGACAGGCAGTCCTCGACGTATGACCAGAATCAACCCCAACATTTCCAGTTGCTAAGCGAGACCCCATGAGTTTCGCCACGTTTTACGGCCATGTTAAGCACATCCCTGCGGTTGTAATGTTAATTATTCTGGCTTCCGGTTTGTCAGAAAGTCGCAAAAGGGAGGAGGGAATCGTGTGACGCCAGGACTTTGCAACCGTCGTAAATCTGAGTCAGTTGCCAAGTGTCTGAATTTTGATCACGTGGCCATGGGAAGGCAGAGACGGTCGTAGGTACAGATAGTCCTTGAGTTGCGACCACAATTCAGCCCAAAATTACCAAGTGAGACTTTCGTTGATGGAGTTCCCCCTCCCCCGTTTTACGACTTTCCTTGCCACCGTTGTTAAGTGAATCACTGCACTTGTTAAGTTAGTAACACTGCCGTTAAGTGGCGCGTCTTCGTTTTGCTCATCAAGTCGCAAAAGGGGATCAGGTGACTCCGGGGGGCACCTCCACCGTCGTAAATACGAGTCAGCGACTGAATTTTGAACAGAGACCATGGTGATACTGCACCATCGTAACTTCGGGCGGTCACTAAACAAACCGTTGTAAGTTGAGGACTGCCTATACTTTAGGGCAGTGTTTCTCAACCTTGGCAACTTTAAGTCCTGGGGAATTCTGGGAGTTGAAGTCCATAGGACTTAAAGTCGCCACGGTTGAGAAACACTCCTTTAGCGCAGTGGGTCCCAAACTTGGCAACTTTAAGATTTGTGGACTTCAACTCCCAGAATTCTCCAGCCAGCAG